AGGAGATCGAGACCATCCTAACATGGTGAAACCCCATCTCTACTAAAAATACAAAAAAATTAGCCGGGAGTGGTGGCGGGCGCCTGTAGTCCCAGCTACTCGGGAGGCTGAGGCCGGAGAATGGCGTGAACCCAAGAGGCAGAGCTTGTAGTGAGCCGAGATTGTGCCACTGCACTCTCATGAGACACTGTCTCAAAAAAAAAAAAAAAGTCTTGAGACCAGGGATAGTGCCTCACGCCTATTTTCCTAGTGTTTTGGGAGGCCAAGGAGGGAGGATCACTGGAGGCTGGGAATTTAAGACCCTTCTGGGTAATGGCAAGACCACGTCTCTGCAAAAAACTAGCTGGGCACAATGGCACACACACCTATAGTCCCAGCAACTCAGGAGGCCCAGGTGGGGGAGCCCAGGAGTTCAAAGCTGCAGTGAGCTATGGTGGCGTCTCAAAAACAAAAGTCTTAGAATAGCCTCTGCTTTGGTTCAGGTCTTCTTCTTTTTTTTTTCTTAAAAAAAACAAAAAACAAAAAAACACGCAAAAACCAAAAAAACTTCTGAATAAAACTAAGTTTAATTTTTTATGTGTTTTTTTGTTTGTTGTTGTGAGATGGGGTCTTGCTCTGTTGCCCAGGCTGGAGTGCAGTGGCACAATCTCAGCTCACTGCAACCTCTGACTAACAGGTTAAATCGATTCTCCTGCCTCAGCCTCCCGAGTAGCTGGGATTACAGGCATAAGCCATCACACCCAGCTAATTTTTGTAGTTTGAGACAGAGTTTCGCCATGTTGCCCAGGCTGGTCTCAAACTCCTGACCTCAAGTGATCCACCTACCTTGGCCTCTCAAAGTGTTGGGATTACAGGCATGAGCCACCGCGTCTGACTGTGCCTGGCCTCCCTTAGGTCTTAATTTGACCGCAGAGCTGTACTATCTTTGGCAGGTCATAATTTTTCTGGGCTTCAACTTCATCTTCACAAAGATATGCCTCAGGTAGGAAAAACTGGACGATTTCTAGGGTCTCTCCTACCTCTCCATGGGTTTCCTGACCTGAATCTTCCTCCATCAGAGAAGATTCTGGATAATCCAGCTCTGGCTGAATCACATCAGGCTGTAGGTGAAAGATGGCAGACTGGTGAGTCATTTACCTTACCCAGGCCAGGCAGCTTCCCCAGCTACAAACCAGAGCTGCTGTATCCCTGCTCAGGGCTTCCCAATGTTCTTCTCTGCCACTCCCAGCCAGGAGGCACAGTTTCCAGCCAGGCTGCAAGGTCTTTAACAGCCATGGGCTCTAACCAGGAGCCAGGTATCAGCCTCCTAGCTACCCTCTCTGCTTTTATTCCCACCCACTTCCAATCTAATTGCCCCACAGTTGCCAGAGTGAAGTTTTTTTGTTTTGTTTTGTTTTTTATTTTTTATTTTTTTGAGACAGAGACTCGCTCTGTCGCCTGGGCTGGAGTGCAGTGGCCGGATCTCAGCTCACTGCAAGCCGCGCCTCCCGGGTTTACGCTGCCTCAGCCTCCGGAGTAGCTGGGACTACAGGCGCCCGCCTAATTTTTTGTATTTTTTTAGTAGAGACGGGGTTTCACCGTGTTAGCCAGGATGGTCTCGATCTCCTGACCTCGCGATCCGCCCGTCTCGGCCTCCCAAAGTGCTGGGATTACAGGCTTGAGCCACCGCGCCTGGCCCCAGAGTGAAGTTTTTATATGACAGAGCTTGTTGTTCCCTTGCTTAGGAAATTTTCAGTAGTAGTTACTCATTCTAATTTTGGTAAAATCCAGATCTTTTTTTATTTTATTTTATTTTTTTTTAGATGGAGTCTCACTCTATTGCCTAGGCTGGAGTGCAGTGGCGAGATCTCAGCTCACTACAACCTCTGCCTCCCAGGCTCAAATGATTCTCCTGCCTCACCCTTCCAAGTAGCTGGGATTATAGGTGCATGCCACCATGCCCTGCTAATTTTTGTATTTTTAGTAGAGACAGGGATTTCACCATGTTGGCCAGGCTGGTCTTGAACTCCTGACCTCAAGTGATCCACCCGCCTGGGCCTCCCAAAGTGCTGGAATTACAGGCATGAAGCATACCGCACCCAGCCCAGACTCTTCACTGTGACTTACAAGGTCCTGAATGATCTGGTCTCGTGTATTCTCCACCTTCAACCTCATCTACCTGGCCTCTTAGCTCCTGCAACACGGCAAGTGCTTTCCCCCCTTAGGGGCCCTAAAACCTGCTACTTCCCCTGCTTTGCCTCTGATGCCCAGCATAAGTGGCTCATCTTTGTCACCTATCGGTCTCAGCTCTTCTGAGGCTTCCCTAGACCAGCTGTCACTCCTGGTTAATTCCTCCCTCTCCTTGTACTGCTTCCCAGAGCCCTTGGCTCAGTCTGTAATAATACAGGATGGCTTTTGGTGTCTTCCCCATAGGAGTTTAAGCCCCAAGTGCTATATTACCACCGTATGTCCTGCTAGCACAGTGCCTCACAGTGGCCAGCCAAACGCTTGCTGAATGAATAACCAGACGTTTCTCCAATTCCTCCTCTTCACATTCCTGCTGCTCCAGCCTTCCAGCAGAATCATCTGGTTTTCTGAGTCCTTAGCATCCATGTCTTTGCCAACAGTTTCTTCCATGTGCCAGTATCTGTGACTGTGCTAACTGCAGTACAGCTCCTCTATTTTTTTTTATTTTTTTTGAGACGGAGTCTGGCTCTGTCCCCCAGGCAGGAGTGCAGTGGCACGATCTTTGCTCATTGCAACCTCCGCCTCCCCGGTTCACGCTGTTCTCCTGCCTCAGCTTCCCAAGTAGCTGGGACTACAGGCGCCTGCCACCACGCCCGGCTAATTTTTTGTATTTTTAGTAGAAATGGGGTTTCACCATGTTAGCCAGAATGGTCTCGATCTTCTGACCTCGTGATCCACCTGCGATGGCCTCACAAAGTGCTGGGATTACAGTCTTGAGCCACTGTGCCCGGCCTACAGCTCCTCTATTTTAAAAAATTTAATTTAAAAACATTTTTGGCTGGGCATGGTGGCTTGTAATCTCAACACTTTGGGAGGCCAAGACAGGAGGATGTCTTGAGTCCAGGAGTTCGAGACCAGCCTGGGCAACTATGGCAAAACCCTACCTCTACAAAAAATACAAAAAAACTAGCGGGGAGTGGTGGCGCACACCTGTAGTCCCAGCTACCTGGGGGGCTGAGGTGGGAGGATTGTTTGCACCCAGGTCAAGGCTTCAGTGAGCTGAGATCGCGCCATAGCATTCCATTCTGGGTGACAGAGCGAGACAGAATCTTGCTGTCTCCCAGGCTGGAGTGCAGTGGCGTGATCTCAGCTCACTGTAACCTCCACCTCCCGAGTTCAAGAAATTCTCCTGCCTCAGCCTCCTGAGTAGCTGGGATTACAAGTATATGCCACCACACGTGGCTAATTTTTGTATTTTTAGTAGAGATAGGGTTTCACCATGTTGGCCAGGCTGGTCTCGAACTCCTGACCTCAAGCAATTCCACCTGACTTGGCCTCCCAAAGTGCTGGGATTACGGGTATGAGACACCATGCCCAGCCAAAAATTTTTTTTAGAGACAGTGTCTCACTATGCCCCAGGCAGGAGTGCAGTGGCACAATCGTAACTCACTGTAACCTTAACTTCTGGGCTCAAGTAATCCTGCCACCTCAGCCTCCCAAGTTGCTGGGATTATAGGCTTGTGCCACCATGCTCAGCTAATTTTAAATTTTTTTGTAGAGGTGGGGTATCTCACTGTATTGCTTAGACTGGTCTCAAACTGTTGGCCTCGAGCAGTCCTCCCATCTCAGCCTCCTAAAGTGCTGGGATTACAGGCACAACTCCTTTAATACTCCCCAAAATCCCATACAGTATGTTCTACTACCCCATTTTACAGATAAGGAAACCGAAGGTCAGCAAGTTCAAGTGCCTTGCCCTTGTGTATTAGTTCATTTTCACGCTGCTGATAAAGACATAACCGAGACTGGGTAATTTATAAAGAAACAGAAGTTTAATGCACTCACAGTTCCACGTGGCTGGGGAGGCCTCACACTCATGGTGGAGGGGGAAAGGCCCGTCTTACATGGCGGCAGGCAAGAGAGAATCAGAGCCAAGCAAAAGGGGAAACCCCTTATAAAATCATCAGATCTAGTGAGACTTATTTACTACAATGAGAACAGTGTGGGGGAACCACTCCCATGATTCAATTATCTCCCAGCGGGTTCCTCCCACAACAAATAGGAACTATGGGAGCTACAATTCAAAATGAGATTTGGGTGGGGACACAGCCAAACCATATCACCTTGGTTCCCATAGCTAGAGTCAGTGGAGTGAGGATTCAAACCCACCAACTAAGCACCTTTACGAACTGAACTCATCAGAGTGGAACGGTGGCAGGAGGCTGTGAGCCAGAGAGGTATGGCAGCTTACCAAAAGATACTCAGTAAGAGGCAGAATACACCAAGCTTGTCCAACCCAAGGCCCGCAGGCTGCATGCAGCCCAAGATGCCTCTGAATGAGGCCCAAACACAAATTCTTCAACTTTCTAAAAACATTATGAGATTTTTGCACAAACCGTTTTGTCTTTTGTTTTAGCTCGTCAGCTATCATTAGTGTTATTTTATGTGTGGCCCAAGCCAATTCTTCCAAGGGAAGCCAATTCTTCCCTTGGCCCAGGGAAGCCAAGACTGGATACCCCTGAACTAGACCCTAGGGTGGGGAGTGGCTAAGACCCCCAGGCCAGGGTCTTTCCCCCAGCTGAGGCCATAGTGCTTCCTCATGGCCAAGACAGTGAGTTATTTAAGAATGGAATTACTGGCTCAGAAGCCAAAGTTGACTGTAATATCTCCAACTCTGGCTCCTGTTTTGAAAAGCGGAATTCTTTGGAAGTTAATGGAAAACTCAAAATAGCAGACTCTGCCCTTGGGGTGTTTGCAGAGGGCTTTGAAGTGGTCTCAAATTACTGACAAGTGAAGATCAGGTAGAGTTAACAAAGCAACCAATGCAGAAGCAGGTCTCAAGGGCAATTCAGATTTATTTCCTGAGCATGCTGACTAAACATACTTCAAACACAGCAGAAGGTAAAGAGTCTTTTGTAAGTAAAGCCGTTTCTTGCCAACAGCGAACGGTGGTCCATGAAGAGTAACTTGAGCATCATCTTCAAGCTCAGCCTCCAGCTCTGGGCAAACAGCTGCTGGGTGGACCTGGTCCTTCTGGCCTCGATGGGGGCCTCCAGGGAACTACTACTTCTCATACTTGTGCTTGATGTGTTTCCACAGTTTCTGCATTTTAAAGACAAGAGCCACAAACTTTGACCTTTGCCTCTCACATTTTACAACTACTCCCACTGCCCTGGTCTCTAAAATGAGCTTGGGAGAAACATATGCCATGTCCTGATTAAAAAGATACACTTGGCCGGGCGCGGTGGCTCACGCCTGTAATCCCAGCACTTTGGGAGGCCGAGACGGGCGGATCACGAGGTCAGGAGATCGAGACCATCCTGGCTAACACGGTGAAACCCCGTCTCTACTAAAAAAATACAAAAATTGGCCGGGCGCGTTGGCGGGCGCCTGTAGTCCCAGCTATACCGGAGGCTGAGGCAGGAGAATGGCTTGAACCCGGGAAGTGGAGCTTGCAGTGAGTGGAGATCGCGCCACTGCACTCCAGCCTGGGCGACAGAGCGAGACTCCGTCTCAAAAAAATAAATAAATAAAAATAAAAAGATACACTTGTGGTGGGCAAACTCGAAGCAATCCTATGCTTGATGCACATTTTTTTTTTTTTTTTTTGAGACTCCTCTGTCACCCAGGCTGGAGTGCAGTGGCGCAATCTCAGCTCACTGCAACCTCAGCCTCCTGGGTTCAAGCGATTGTCCTGCCTCAGTTTCACGAGCAGCTAGGAATACAGGTGTGCGCTACCCGGCTACTTTCTGTATTTTTAGTAGAGATGGGGTTTCGCCATGTTGGCTAAGCTGGTCTCAAACTCCTGACCTCAAGTGATCTGCCCGCTTCAGCCTCCCAAAGCGCTGAGATGACAGGCCTGAGCCACCGTGCTGAGCCTTCATGCATAATTCTTGGCATTTATAAAATACTATGATGCTTTCAATCACCAGGTGAAGTAGAAAGGGGTGATTTTAATTTTATAGGAAATTCAGGTTGAGATCGAGGGAAGTGCCCCAAAACACACAATTATTAAGGAAAACAGCCTGGAAGATGTCTCAGTTCTTTAACTCCCAGGTATTACTGAAGAGGTTGTAAGTGTGTAGTCCCAAAATATTTCACCATGAGCCATTTAAAACATTTCCTGGGACCTAAATTGGCCAAAATTCTCATTCCCAAAAGCACAAGAGGTTGAGCACAGTGGCTCACATTTGTAATCCCAGCACTTTAGGAGACTAAGGCAGGAGGACAGACTGAGCTCAGGAATTCGAGACCAGCCTGGGCAACATGGTGAAACGCCATCTCTACGAAAAATACAAAAATTAGCTGGGCGTGGTGGCACTTGCCTGTGGTCCCAGCTACTCAGGAGGCTGAGGTGGGAGGATCACTTGAACCCAGGAGGTCAAGGCTGCAGTGAGCTGTGATCATGCCACTGCACTCCAACCCGGGCGACAGAGTGAGACCCTGTCTCAAAAAAGAAAAAAAAAAGCACAGGGAAAATGGGTGAGTTATAACAACATGCTTGGATGTCTCTCCAGATCAGTGGGAGTGGTCAGCAGAAGCAACTGCAAGAGACGGTACAGTGGCAATGCTTTCATGTGGGCAGGAAGTTGCACTGGTCACAGGCAGCATAGCACTAGTGGACAGTGCCTTCCCAGGCTGCAGAGTCAGTCTCAAATTAAAAACAAGTGAGTGGTGGAACAGGGCTAGATGTATAAGGCCTACTCCAATACAGCCATAATTTAGCGATATAAAGCATGCACTGCACCTAGCACAGTGCGTGATACATAAAAGTCAAAAATGTGTTGCCATTCCTACCTCATGCTTCCACTTTCTCCTGAGGAATGTAAGCAGTGATTACTTTTCAGTGGTGCCACCTACCAGGCATGTGGCACCCTGCTGCATCTCCTGTGATCCTCACAATAGTGCTCATGTTACTACTATTAATATCTCCATCTCACAGTTAAAACGGAGTTCAGAGAAGAAACTTGCTCAACTTAATGCCACAGTTAAGTGACAAGGACCAGTGTTCCTATCCAAGGCTTTCTGATTTCATAGCTCCCACTCTCAATCATTAATAACAACTGCCTACGTGGGAAGCCTTGGGGACCGAAAGCGTCACCTGAAACTTCAGCCACGGCGTCTAAGGTGTCTAATGTCCTTTTCACGACCGTCGCCTGCTCAAATCTGCCCTTGAAACCCTGAGAGACAGGGGTCCCGTTTCTGGCCCTGACTTGCCCCTGGCTTCCTGTGCACCTAGTAAGTCCTTTGCTCTCACTAGCCTTTAGTTTTTGCTTCTGATAATGGACAAGTGGGTATGTGGGGTGGCACACAGCGATACTTACAACCCCTGTAAAGTGAGATATATTAACCTCGCTTAACGTTTTATAATTCACATCAAGCCAAGGGGACAGACGGCGGACTCGAGACAGAAGACGCCGACGGTTTACCCCTTACCCCCTTCCTGGTAAAGGTTACTGAGTCCCGTCCCACCTCTACTCCACTGTCACCCCTCAGGTAGGTCCAAGGTCAAGGATGCCACAGGCCCTCACCCCCTCGTTGATGTGGTCGTAGATCGCGTCCGCGCCTTGATCGAAGGCGCGCTCGAAGAATACGACGCCCACGACGATGGTGAGGGCGAAGGTGGAGGTCCTGCGAAACAGCAAGGAGTACAATTTCGAAGTAAACGCCGCGGCCGCCATGTTTCTTTTTTCACGGTCCAACTCGCGCCACCGCGCCTGCGCCGGGGCCGACCTCGTTCTCCAAAGGCCCTAGACGTGCAACACTTTATGGGATTTGTAGTACCTCTGAATCTCGGCTTTGGGTGTTTTGAACCACAGAGGTACGGCTGTCCTGGGCCTGAGAAAAAAAAATCTCATAAGATCCATATCAGGACAACCCAAATAATCTGATAAAATTTATTACCCAATTTTTCCTCTCCAGAATTCCTGGCTGTTTGAATATGTTAAACTACAACTCCCAGAAGCCCTCGCGCGCCATCACCTTCCCCCCGCCCTCCGCCCCGTCCTGGCTTGGATTCCTAAAGCTCTCTGGGAAGGGGGAGCTGATGGCCAAGGCGAGACTACGAATCCCAGCAAGCAGTGCGCGACGTGGGGACGCAGGAGGAGGAGTCCGGAGCTGCCGCCACCGGGGAGCCAGGTACCTTCCGCCAGACGCCGAGAGGGGCGAGCCCTAGTCTCTTTTCCCCGCATTGGAAGACTTGAGCGCCTCCCTCTTTGTCCGTACGCCCTGCGGCGGGACGCACCATTCCTTGGAGTGGATAGAGGGGTGAGGGGATCTGGGTTCCCGAGACCCTGGCTCATCTCTTCACCTTGTCCCCTCCGTCAGCCCCAAGTCTAGGCCAGGAGCTGGAGCCTGTGGCAAAAGTCTTGTCCTGGAGGTTAAACCCTTCAGGCTGGCTTAACGGCAGGGAGGGATCTGCCCTGCTTCCTGTTACTCTCACCCCTGGGCTTCGCACCCGGCAACCCTGGTCTGGAAGGCTGGAGACTTGGGACCTGCTTGGTATTGAAAAGAGCGGGTTTGGAGTACCTGGGACATTCAACAGATGTTTTCCCAGCGCCTGTTCTGGTCCCTGCTCTGGGGACCCAGCAGTGAACAAGTCCCTGCTCTCATAGAGCGCTCAATCTACTGAGTGGGCAGGTGGGGGAGGTACAGTGCAACAAACACATAGTGCTTTGGTTGACTGGAGAGGCAGTGGTGGTGACATTGCACCCTGGGTGGCTGCTCTGGGGGTGACACTTGACTAGATACCTGAATGAATAGTAGAGTTGAACAGGAAAACGTTGGTGCAAAGGCCTTGAGGCACCTACAGTCCTGGGATGTTTGAGGGAAAGAAGTAGAGTGGATTATGAAGAGGTGGACTCCGGTCAGCTGATATCTGGCCTTGGAACCCACGTTACGGAGTCTTGTTTTCTTTGGTTTTTGTTTTTGATAAGTTGGTCTCCAACTTCTGTGCTCAAGCGATCTTCCTGCCTCGGCCCTGCAAGGTGCTGGAATTACAGGTGTGAGCCACCGCGTCTGGCCAGGGAGTCATGTTTTTTCCTAATTGCACTAGGAGGCCACTGAAGGGTTTTCAGCAGAAATGCGACAAGATTTAATTTGCACTTTAATGTCATCATCCTGGCTGGTCTATGGAGAGTGGACTGTGAGGGGGAAGTTATTGTTGTAGATCAGTTGAGGGAAGTTGGGTGATTATTTATTTATTTATTTATTTGAGATGGAGTCTCGCTCTGTTGCCCAGGCTGGAGTGTAGTGGTGCTATCTCGGCTTACTGCAACCTCCGCCTCACGGGTTCAAGTGGTTCTCCTGCTTCAGCCTCCTGAGTGGCTGGGATTACAGGTGCCTGCCACCATGCCTAGTTAATTTTTTTTTTTAGTAAAGATGGGGTTTCACCATGTTGGCCAGGCTGGTCTCAAACTCCTGACCTCAGGTGATCCTCCCACCTTGGCCTCCCAGAGTGCTGAGATTACAGGCGTAAGCCACCACGCTTGGCCTGATGGGTGGTAATTTAGGTTAGGGTGTGGAGCAGAGCAGTGATCAGATTTGGGATGTAATTTGGGAGGTAGGGCAGACAGAGCAAGCTAGCAGATGTGTGTAGGGTGCACAGGAAAGAGGAATCAGGAGGATAATCTAAGTTTTTTTGTGTGTTTTTTTTGGTTTGTTTGTGTTTTGAGACAGAGTCTTGCTCTGTTGCCCAGGCTGGAGTGCAGTGGCCATCTCGGCTCACTGCAACCTCTGCCACCCAGGTTCAAGCAATTTTCATGCCTCAGCCTACTGAGTAGTTGGGATTACAAGCAGACGCCAACACACCCACCTCATTTTTGTGTTTTTAGTAGAGACAGGGTTTCACCATGTTGGCCAGGCTGGTCTTGAACTCCTGGTGTCAAGTGATCCACCTGCCACGGTCTCCCAATGTGCCAGGATTACAGGTGTGAGCCACCGCGTCCAGCTGACATCTAAGTTTTGACCTCAACAATTTAAAATCGGCCGGGCGCGGTGGCTCAAGCCTGTAATCCCAGCACTTTGGGAGGCCGAGATGGGTGGATCACGAGGTCAGGAGATCGAGACCATCCTGGCTAACACGGTGAAACCCCGTCTCTACTAAAAAATACAAAAAAACTAGCCGGGCGAGGTGGCGGGCGTCTGTAGTCCCAGCTACTCGGGAGGCTGAGGCAGGAGAATGGCGTGAACCCGGGAGGCGGAGCTTGAGGTGAGCTGAGATCTGGCCACTGCACTCCAGCCTGGGTGACAGAGCAAGACTCCGTCTCAAAAAAAAAAAAAAAAAAAAAAAAAAAAAAAAAAAAAAAAAAACAATTTAAAATCAACAGGAATTATCTTAAATTCTGTTTTGTCCACGTCAGTTTGAGCTGGCCCACAGACATCAAGTGGAGGTGTCTAGAGGCAAATGAGGACACGGATCTGGAGTTTAGAGGAGAGGTATGAGCCTGAGAAGAGTCATCCGGATAGGGGTGGCATTCAAAACCAGGGACTGGGCTGGACATGGTGGCTCATACCTATAATCCCAGCGTTTTGGGAGGCCAAGGCAGGAAGAACACTTGAGGCCAAGAGTTGAAGACCAGCCTGGGCCACACAGTGAGACCATCTCTACAAAAAACAAACTAGGGGCCGGGCGCGGTGGCTCACACCTGTAATCCCCGCACTTTGGGAGGCCAAGGTGGGTGGATCACTTGAGGTCAGGAGTTCAAGACCAGCCTGGCCAACATGGTGAAATCCTGTCTCTACTAAAAATACAAAAAAAATTAGCCAGGTGTGGTGGTACCTGCTTGTAATCCCAGCTACTTGAGAAGCTAAGGCAGGAGAATCACTTGAACTTGGGAGGTGGAGGCTGCCACGAGCCGAGATTGCGCCACTGCACTCCAGCCTGGGTGACAGAGCTCAAAGGAAAACAAAACAAACAAAAACCAGGGATTGGATTGCAGGCCTGGCTCTGCCTCTGACTCTGTGACATTGATCAGGCTTTGACTCTCTGGGCCATCTTGTAATTCATCTGTAAATAGCAACAGTAATACCAGGTTAGGGGATCAGAAGGTAAAAAGTGAAATGCTTTACATCCATGAGTTATCCTTACTGTGGTTTTTTACTATTTGCAAAGCATCCTGGGAGCCCCTCAGAGCAGGAAGTTGTGAGACTCTAGGGGAAGACTACTTAGGTCTTGCTGATCATTTCCAACCAATCTGGCTGATGGGAAGTTCAGAGGAGAGAGAATCATTTTAGGTGCAATAAGTAGGGAAGACCACAGGGAGTTAAAGGTGTGGCTTGTTTTATTTGGTTTTATTATGTTTTATTTTTGTAGAGACAGGGTCTCCCTCCATTTCCCAGGCTGGAGTACAGTGGCACATAATTCCTGGTTGTAATAATCATAGTTCCTTGCAGCCTGGAACTCCTGGGCTCAAGCAGTTCACCTGGTTCAACCTCCCAAACAGCTGGGATTACAGCTGTGCACCACCACACTGCGTTGTTATTATTATTATTATTATTATTATTTTGAGAAGGGTCTTACTCTGTTGCCCAGGCTGGAGTGTAGTGGCATGATCATAGCTCACTGCAGCCTCCAACTCCTGGGCTCAAGTGATACTCCCACCTCAGCCTTCCAAGTAGCTGGGACTACAGGTGCATGCCACTATGCCTCACTCATTGGTTTTCTGGTTTTCTTATATATTTTTTGTAGAGACAAAAAAATTTTAGGGGTGTCACCATGTTGGCCAGGCTGGTCTCAAATTACTGAGCTTAACTGATCCACCCACCTTGGCCTTCCAAAGTGCTGGGATTACAGACATGAGCCATCTCCCCAGCCTAATTTTTATTTATTTACTTACTTACTTACTTACTTACTTTTTTTTTTTTTTTTTTTGAGGCAGAGTCTCGCTGTGTTGCCCAGGCTGGAGTGCAGTGGTGCGATCTCAGCTCACTGCAAGCTCCGCCTCCTGGGTTCAAGCGATTCTGTTCTCTCAGCCTCCCAAAGTGCTGGGATTACAGGTGTGAGCCACCGTGCCTGGCCTACAGCTACTTTTTAATTCCAAAAATATACTGATTATTACTCAATTTAGGATAAGAACATTAATACAGTGAATTTGATTTGCCCTTATGCTTCTATTTTTTAATTCTAAACTTTCCAGGAGTGTGACAAGACGCTTATCTAGTAAGAAAACAGCTTTATCCACTTTAAATAATTGTGCTTAGCATGCAGTTGGATTACCACTTCAGTGACCTGAGGTTATTCATCATTGAACTGATTTCTAGCTGGGACATGAGTCCAGGGGGCTGTGTCTACCCAGAGTAACTGTCCCCAGCAGCAACTGCATTTGGAACTCGAGGGAAAGCTCATTCCTCCAGGCTTTTGCTTCTTAAGGGGTATTAGACTTGCTAGTTAAAATGCAGGTTTCTAGGTTCCCCTCCAGATCTGCTAAATCAGGATTTCTGGGGACCTGACCCAGGAGACTTTTTTTTTTTGTTTTTGACACGGAGTCTTGCTCTGTCACCCAGGTTGGAATACAGTAGCATGATCTGGGCTCACTGCAACCTTCACCTCCTGGGTTCAATCTCGTGCCTCAGCCTCCCAAGTAACTGGGATTACAGGTGTGCACCAGCACACTAAACTATTTTTTTTTTTTTTTTTTTTTTTTTTGAGACGGAGGAGTCTGTCTCTGTCACTCAGGCTGGAGTACAGTGGTGCAATCTTGGCTCACTGCAACTTCCGCCTCTCAGGTTCAAGTGATTCTCCTGCCTCAGCCTCCTGAGTAGCTGGGATTACAGGCGCCTGCAACCATGCCCAGCTAATTTTTTTTTTGAGACAGACTCTCACTCTGTTGCTCAGGCTGGTGTGCAGTGATGCGATCTCGGCTCACTGCAACCTCCACCTCCTGGGTTCAAGAAATTCTCCTGCCTCAGCCTCTCGAGTAGCAGGGACTACAGGTACATGCCGTCATGCCCGGCTAATTTTTTGTATTTTAGTAGAGTTGGGGTTTCACCGTGTTGTCCAGGCTGGTCTCGAACTCCTGAGCTCAGGCAATCCACCCGCCTCGGCCTCCCAAAGTGCTGGGATTACAGGCGTGAGCCACCATGCCTGGCCTAATTTTGCATTTTTAGTAGAGACAGGGTTTCACCATGTTGGTTAGGCT